AAAAAAAAAAAAAAAAAAAAAAAAAAAAAAAAAAAAAACACTCTCTATAACTGCGAATATAGCAAAGCGTTTCTATCTGAACCTTACCGGCCGGCTTAAAGATTTGACTTTGGTTTTGTCCGAATCGAAAACAAGTTTGTCACATGCAATGTTTGTGTATGGCTATCTAAGCAGTTGAGAATCGCGGCAATGCTGCTTATGTATCTTGTTGGACAGTCTTGATTTCTTTTGGTCAAAACTGAAATTTGATCGGATCACGGTGTTGACGAACGAGTTCTGCAATTAATTAGCACACAAATCGGTTATAAATTCTGTATTTCAATAATCAAGCAAAAAAGACATTTAAAAAACAAAAATGAGTTAAAATGATATCGCAGACAAATTGCTAGGAATTGTAGTTAAGGTAAGTTCGCGTGAAATTCGTTTAAGTTGCTTATCGATCTTTCGATCAATCTTTATTTCAATGCACCAAAAATCGCACCAAAAAACCAAATGCTTGCTTTTGCTTCTTTTATTGTTTACCAATTGGCAACAAGTTTTTCGTTTCTTTTATTGAAATTGTTTACAAGATTCTAGCTTAGGCAGCTGCAGGAGAATTTGATTTTGCTTTCAAGTAGACCAAGCAGAAGCCTCGAGCTCGAGTGGCATGCCACGCATTAAGAAAAACTGTTTTTCTTTTCAGAACCGAACCATACAATCATTCAATCAAATCATTTTTAAACTATATAATGCTTTTCCCCCTTGAATATTCGACATGTGCTAAACCCACAATTCTCTCGGTTATCTTTCAGGCTCCGAGTGCGATTCGGGCAGTGCTTCCATAACGCCCCCCATGCAGCTGCTTGGACTGGGACTCGTGCTCTACATAGGCGCCCTGCTGCGGCTTAAAGGAGTTTTCTAAAAGAAATTCTCTGGCAACATCGCATTCCATAAGTAAAATATGATAATATTTAGCAACTGAAAGAGACGGCGAGAGATAAGGAGAGAGCGAGAGCGAGAGCGAGAGCGAGAGCGACAGAGTTTTAGAAGTGGAGCCAGACCTTTGTAGTTTGGCCAAACGATTTGTAAATGAATTTAGTGTTGCATGCAACTGCATTAAGTGGCAGCAGTTTGGCATTTGTTGTAGTTGTTAGTTTTAACCGCTTGCCAGGTGCAAGCAGGTAGACACTTTAGCACGCGGCTTGCCCCACACAGAAACACTCACACACACACACGAACACATATCAAATGCAGCCCGAGTAGTTGCGCTTACTTTTATTATTTCCATAGACACACACACACACACGCAGACACCTTGATACACTTTTGTAGCACGCCGCAGAAATTTGCTTAGTTTGTATAAAAATGCAGTGACCCAACAAAGTGGCCCCAACAAACCCAGGCTCCAGTAAAAATATAGAAACCAACAAGAAAGAGAACAAAAAAATGGAAGCTAAACTGAGAAATTAATCAAGCAACAAAATAAAAAACAATTTTGATAAATTGAACGTTTGTCATGCCAGCCAGCCAGACAGTCAGCCAGTCAGCCGGGCATCAACAATACACGAACAGGAGGATGAACAAGAAGAAGAAATTATATTAAATACTCGCTTAGAGTTTGCATATTTTGCCAGCTGGCATGGGTCCAAAACTCTGCCCAGGCCGTAGACCCCGAAAGATTTTGAATTGATTTTTTGATAGACCCAATGAAACTTGGCCAAAAATGCATTGGTTTCAGATTTCCGTTGGGCATGGTTCATTAATTTTGTCACACAGCTATATGTGTATATATAATATATATACATATATATATATGATCTTGGCATATACATATACATATATACTTATGTTTTCCTTTTGCACTTTGGGCACACCAAAAAAAAAAAGTTCTTATGACGAAATTTGGAAATGAAAAACAAAGAAACAATTAGTAAATTTGTATTGTTCGAATAGAGAGAGTTTTAATGAGAGATTTGCAAGTTTTTTTGTAAAGGGCAGCCCACAAACCGGAATGGAAACTGATTTCTAGGGAAATCGGTTGGAAAACGAATAGAACAAAAGTATAAAAAGAAAATCAAGTTTGTAGGAAACCTAATGAAACATTTAAATGGCAAAACATATCAGTATATATATAAATATATATATATATTATATGAGCATATATATACATCTATATATATACACATATATATACAATAAATGTAATGCATCTATATATATATAGTATACATATATGTATGTACATGTATTATTGCATTTGTACTAAACGTTTTACAAATTGGCTTAGAGACTACAAAAATATAAAAAGTAAAGAAAATAAAAGAAATAAATAAAGATTATAAAAAACCAAATATAAATGGAAATAACTAAAAGTTTTATACACTTAGCGAAATTCGAACCAGAAACAAAACAAATGTGCTGTATATTAAAGTTTGGTATGCCTATATCTATAAATGAATATATATGTATGTAGGTATATATATATACATATATATGTATATCTAAATCTAAATGAATGAATTAATCGAGTAATTGTCATATATATACATACTTACATAGCTCAGTGTACGTATGAAACGAATTGAGCGCGTTTAGAATGAATCATAATTCTTAAGGGCATATCAGTATATATACATTTATATATCTATATATGTATATGTATGAACAACAACAACAACTATTGAGAGCGAACAGTTTCGAAATTAATCTAACCTAAGCCACACTGATATTAACTAAGTTATTTTTATTATAAAAATACACACAAACACACATACACCTACACGCATACAGCTAAAGTAAAAAGAAAAACAAGTATTGGACTTCTAAAGAACAGAACAAATAAATAATAATGAATACAAAAATAAATGAGAGCAGTAACTGTTTCTTGTCTATATCGAATAAAGAAACAATATTGTTTTTTAGCTGTAAGCAAAATGAATTCTATATAGTATATATGTATATATGCATATGTATATCTATATATGTCATGTGGTCTAATGCCTATTTGAGCGATGTTCGCTTTCAACTGTAGCAACTAGGAACAAAATTCAATGTGAAATTATAAACAATTACTTATAGTGTTAAGGTTGGCTCAGCGCAAGGACAACAATCGAGCCAATCAGCAGAGATCGCCAGCCATCTACGAATCCAGTTTTGATGGCCGTGGCTCTTGTCGAACCAACCTGCCAAATGCTGGACTCACAATTTAGTTTAAGCATGCAAAAGTGAAAATAAATAAAAATAAAAAACTTAAAAAAAAACAACTAAAAAACTATTAACTATTCTGTTATATTCTGAGAACACACAAACTATTACTAGAACACCAAAGGTCAAGCAACGATAGTAAAGCTCACTTATGAAACTATATCCATAAAAAGAAGAGAAACAAACCAAATAATAATAATAATAAATAAATATTGCTAAATAAACATACTCGAAGCAAACATAAATAAATACAAGTTAGTTAAGTAATTGAACATTGCCCTACAAGAAATTGAAATGAATCTTCGATTATAATCAAGTATATTGCAAGCAACATTCGTAATTAAATACATTAATTAACAATATTATGAACTCATTCCTAATTTTACAAACAATTATCAAATCGATTCAATTACTTTAAAAAATAATACAAAATAAACACACACACAATTTTGATGAAAGTGTAAGAACTTAACGATTTTTAAGTATATGTGAACATTTATATTTTTATACCATGCAAGGCAAGCCGTATTGAAAAAAAGAAAGAAAAAACAAATGCATTAAAATACTAATATTAAAAAAAAAGATACAAATAATTTAAATAATAAACAACTAAATGAGAAATATTTAACATTTTTTACTGCGTATTGAAAACAATGTATGGCTAGAGTAAAATTAAAGAGGAAAAAGAAAACTTAAATTAAAATACCAAAAAAAAAAATACCAAAATGAGAAAAATATGAAAAACTTGTTAACTCCAAATAAAAACTAGCTTTAAACGAGTACAGAAGAATCCCGCGCCATGTTTTAGCCATGATTTCGCCCCGGTCATAACTGTTTGCCACACAAATGCACAAAACTTTTAAGAATTTAAAATGCTAGGGGTATTCCCTGTTCTGTGAAAACCGGCTTGGGCCCGGCTTTGTCCGTGATTTGGGCGTGTGAGCTGCAAGGATGAGTTCTTGGTGCACCTCCAAGGCCAAAGGACTCCAGATCCTTGTCAATGACACACGCCCAAATCATCGAACCTCAATGTGTAGAATTAGCGATAAATGATAAGAATTAAGGAATTTACTTTTGCCTTTTTCAAGCGAGATCTTAAATCGAATGTGTAAAGATTGCAATTATTTTTACTATTTAAATGTTGTACGCATTTCCATGTTTATGTTTAAAAAAAAGAGTGTGAATCCTCTTTCCCAACCTGTCCCACGCCCACTCCTACTCCCACATCCTCTGAGAAATATATATTTTGTCATTTTGCATGGTTTTCGGCTCAAGCCAAAGAATTGACAATATAATATTTCGCCTTAGAAGCAAATGGAGATAACGAATGAGAGACAAATTCCAAGTGTTATGCTTATAGATCTAAATTTTTTATATACATGACGACACACACATACACACGTTCTTACACACATACAGACACGCATCTTGCATCTACAATAATTTGGTAAAATAAAATTGATATTTAATTTGACATTTTTTATATTTTCTGTTGCCGTTCTTCCAAACATCTATATATATATATATCTATATATATATATGTATATGTATGAAATTTATAGTGAAGAGCACTCAAAATATATCCACAGTGTGCTTTTGATATTGTAGTCTGCTATTTGTAAAAGAATTTATATATAGTATACATTATAGTGCTAATAGATAAATATATACATATATATAAATATATATATATGTATATGTGTACTAAAAACATATACTTATGATAATAATGCAAATAATTGATATAAATGCTGTTTACATTCAAAACATCACACACACACACACACATACACCCAACCACGCCCTCTCCAAATCCGACTTATATAGTACTAGTTAAGTGTCTATAGGAAAATAATGAAAGTTAAGTAAAACACGAAAAATATTTCCATTGGTTTTTCTTGAGTTTTGCCACTTTGTTTTCAGTTCTCTCACTAATAGAAATACAATAGTTGAATTCTTTTGGTTTTTATGGTATTAAGAAATCGTTACTAATTATATCAGCTACGACATCTGATAATAAAAAACACAGTTCTAGTTGGTAGACGACAAGTGTAAAATGAGTGTTGAATTGATTGTTGAATGCGATCAATGCAGAATTACTTAAAAGCATCACAGAAGAATAAATTAAAACTAAATGTTATACTAAAGACACACACACACATACACACCAATCACACAATGTTAAAAGCCAAGCACAGAAATGCATTTGAAGATTAAATACATACCAAAAATAATTCTATAACAAGAACAAAACAATACATTTAACCCAAAAAACAAAAATAAATAAAAAGCTAAATTCAAAAACGATAAATATTTCAATAAAAAAACATAATTAACACAACATAACGAGAAGGTAAAAGCAAGTTTGATCACGTCTTTTTTTTAAGTGTAAAAATCAAATACATATCAATATATGGCCTATGGTTTATTTAGTTTAATTATATACAACTAAATTGAAAACAAAAAATTATGAACAAAAATTATAATAAGCTAAATGAATTAATTATAATATTAATAATAATAAAAATAATGATATTTAGCTGCAAGTGTAAGGCTCTGATTTATGACTTTTTAAGTAGGCAATTTGTAAAAATTAAGCAACTGTAACTGTAACTGTGTAAAAGTGTTGCTAAAAAAAAAAAACAAAATGAAAACTAAAAAAAAAAACAAATTGTGGTTAAATATGTGTTCTTACTTGTTAGTGGTAATAAAAGCCAAAACAGAGACAACAAATAAATAAAGTAAATAAATTGATAAAACTAATTTATATATAAATATAATTATAACTATGTTGTGTCAACATGCACGACTAGAAACCAACTGTAGCTTTTAATCATGCCAAGCATTTCAATATAATTTCCATTCAAGCTAAATCCTATTTTCCCGTCTGCTCCTCAGTTTCCCAATGCAGCACAGTAATTGCCACACACACACACACACACAGAAGTTGAAACAAAAGAGATAATAATAGAATTATTTGCATTGATAATATATAACCTAAGCCCCACACCCTCTCCGATGCTCACCATAATACAATAACTCTAATGAAGAAAATTTCAATGTCATAAATAAACGAAAAGAAATCAAAGAAAACTTAGCTAAATTACAGACATAGTTATATATGTACATGTATATATGTGTATCGCCACAGATATCTATGCA